AATGGCCATAAATATAGTTTTATTTTTGTTTGGTTGGAAAAAAAAATCTGTTTTTAACTGCTGGAGAAATATGTACGTATTTCCCTATTTTTTACCGAGTTTGAAAGACGAAAATTTACAGGTCGTCTCTAAGTTATTAAGTTCTGTTCACTTAAATATTTTCTCACAATAAAAACTATGATTATTTTCTTGTTTTGATTTGGTAATAAAAGATATAAACCACAATGATAAAGATCACGCTGATCCTGACAATATTAAGACATATTTCTCTTGTATAATAAATTTTTATTATAAACTATTTGATTTCAATGCATTCCATTGTATGATTGGGTAGTGGATATTAATTTCATGGGCTATATAGATTATACACTGAAATTTCCAGATCTAATTTCAGGAAATAACCGCGTGCAGATGACGGCTTTATTGCTTGCACTCTAATATTATATATCAGGAAAATAGTCATCAAAACTGACGCCATTATTTACATATGAATTGGCACTTCTATCGAGGATCAGAAATATTTGCATTCTGTCAAAGATCCAAATGTCTATTCCTGGCACTGTGCCTATGAACAGGATGGGATATTGAGATAGGTGAAGTGATACAAATACACACAGACAAACATATATCTATAATGCAGTCTGCTAATTCTTATCTACCATTATGTGGTTTAAAACTGGTGCTATTACATGTTTGAAAAAGCGCGCAATATAATTTTCTCCGTTTTCTGATCGTTATTTCGACTTAGGTGTTTTAACATTGATCCGGTTGGAGGCATCAGTATTGTTCTTATTACGTCGATCTAACCGCTGATGCTATCGTTTGTATTCTCCGTCACGATCCAAAAGAAAAAAAGCCAAAAAAGAAAGAAAGAAAAAAAAATAAGGAAACAGGAAAAAATTTTCTGCCGAGGGGTTTCGTTCCACAAGTGTTATAGAGAAAGACACCTATTCTATAGTTAATAGACTCTCCCACCTATAATAATTAGGAGTAGTAAAAGTAACGAGAGAGTCAGTCAGTGAGTCGCCCATTTTAAAAATCCGGCCTTGTGCCACATGATGCCCCAGTGGGCGGGGAGCGGGGGTGACTGAATATCGTCCGTCAGTGAGTCGATGCCGGACGACAGTTAGTCGAATACTAAAGTATCAGCGACCACAACTAGATTACTCTGCGTTATACCTATTACATCCTAATGTTTTGTACGGCGAACCTATTTTAGAACCGACTTAGTACAAATACCAGCCTCCACTGTGAAATCACTCCACAACAACAAGCAATCTTTTCAAGACAAATCTAGAAATCTTATTTGGGATCATGCATTTTTACACGCGGTAAAAAGTAACGCTGAGAAAATAAGACGTTATGCATGAAGATGTGAACTGAAGCTAAATTATTAAGAAATCTCTCGGCGTTAAGGAAAGGAAAGGAAAACTATGGAAGTTCTGTAGTTCATAAAGTTCCTCAAGGATCGAATACCGTCGGTACAGTATGTAATCCACTTGTCATTTCTTTTCTTAATATTGTCTCTGCATATACATGTATTTATATCTGAATTTTGCATATATACACACATGTCTATGTGTCTTTGTGCGTTAAAGAATGTAATAACAGATTTTGAAAAGAATCAAAAACACAATTGTAAATATTTATATGCATTTGCTGAAGGATTTCTTTTAATAAATTTTATAATAGAAAATTAAATGATGAAAATATACACGCGATAAATAAGATAACATCTCCAATTGAAACGAATCTTCACCTGTTCATACAAGGATGTGCCTGTAGAGAGGCGTTTATCGGCTAGAAATTGGAATGGGGTTTGTTACGTTCATCTTAGGACAAATGCTCATGGGAGTGCTATGAATCGATCTTTCCTCCCGTAATCTATGGTTTACATGGCAACGCAAATTTTCTAGTCTTGCCTTACAAAAAATTTGGGAGGAAGATAATTTTGAATACAAAACTGTTTGAGATTGTTGCTAGCAATTCCACCACGTAAAACCTGCTTACTATAAAGAACATTCAGGTAACGTCTTGCAAGGTGATGTGACGACCAGTGTGACAAAAAACCCAAAACTGGATAAAAAAACATTTTTATCGTCTAAATGTATATTTATATTTATTATTTATATTATTATTAAGAGGAAATCCCAAGTTATTTTGTGAGTATTTTATTACTTTTCGTCCTTTTTAGAACATAAGAAATTTTGATTATTGTTTTTTTTTTTTTTTTTTTGCATCAGTGGAATACCATTAAAATCAGTGATATCCGCCATTTTTTTGAGAAATTTCTAAAAAAAAAAGTTAAATTATCCGTTAAAAAATCTTTTAAAAATAAATTACAGGTTTTCCAAAAGTTATTCGTGGAAAATTAGCAAATTTAAAGTTTACTTAATCTAAGAGGTAACAAACATTACTTACATTTTTTTAAATCATTTAGCAGAAAAAATGTAGTTGAAAATAAGAGAAACCTGTATTAACCGGGGTCACTAGTTTTTGAGGCATTAACTGACAGTTACATCGTTGTATTGACAGTTTACATCAGAGGTGTAGTTGTCGGACGGAAGCACAGACGTGACATGTTTTTTTTTTTCGAATTTGAATTGAACTTATTTAACTACCGAGTAATTTTTAAAAAATGAACAAGTACTTTCAGCAATGTAATATTTTATTGTTCTTTTTATAGCTTTACGTTTGATGATTCTTTCTAGAAAAATAAAATTTAAAAGACTAACAAAAAAAAAATTGAAATTTAATTCGGAGCACAATGCATGACATTTATAATAGAAAGTCGATCTAACGGTTTCATTTAAGAACATCACATAAGTTCTTATGCTTGGTTTTCGAGGTACTATCTTTGTCCTCTATCGTTGTCTCCTCTTCTAAATTTCATCGATACACTGAAATATTTGAAGTGTTATCTACTTATTAATTCTGAAAGTGAGATAATATTTTATAAAAGAGATTCCTATAGTCTTCCATACCTTTCTCATAAAATTCTATGTTATTATTTTTATTTATTATTAATTTTTATATTATCTAAGTTATGAAAAAATTATAACTGAGATAATATAAAAATTAATGATGAATAAAAATAATACCATAAAATTGCATAAATAACATAGGTAAATAAGTACTTCTCCCATTTATGATATGCTATTTTTGTGTTAATTTTAATATTAATTGTTATTATATGACAGTTATTAAAATGTGAATTCCTTGTATTAATTATGTAATCATTTATTCCTATATTATTTAATAATAATCCGCTACAATTATTCTATTGTCTAAATGATAAAAAAGAACTGTTATGAAAAAGATTTCAGACTTTAACGAATATGTCTAAATTCTGAGGAATGTGATTCCCTTTGTTTCCGTCCTTAGATTTGAAACTAAAAATAAAATGCTTAATTAATAATTGCAGTATGTCCCTCATTGAAAAACGATAAAGTAATTATATTTAAAAAAAATAAATTAAAAATATTTAGTGAAATAGAACGTAAAAAAGAAACCTTTTGAAAATGCGACGATGATGGTCAATGTCAGCCAATATGAGCTCGCAGAAAGAAAACGCAAATTTTCTGAGGGCATATTATTGCCATCGGGTGAAACAACTCTTAAAACGTGTGACATTTTAATGTCATGTCCGATCATCCATATATTTGGATAAAACTTTTTTATGCACATTCAAAACAATGTTAAATATATTTTTTTTAAATTAGAGTTGTCGCAAATTGTAATAAGCTTTCAAAGTTATCATCTGTGAAGATAGATCTACTTAATAACAAAATTTTCTAAACTTTACGGTTTGAAACTTATTTTTAGAATATTTAACAACTTTATCAAATTTTGTATTTATAATTATAAAAAGAAAAAACGGTTCTTGTAAAAAATTATTTTTTCATTGGAAAAATATTTTGGCTTCAGACAATATTGTCCTTAATATATATTATTCATGAAAGTCATTATAAGCTTTTCTAATTAAATAACGTCTTAGTTTTATTGGGTTTTGTATGTTAAAATAAAGAGCTGTTTTTTTGGTAACGGGGTAAGTCCATTTTACTAAACAAAATGAATGATTTATATTCTTCAAAGACTTCTGCTTTTAACTAATATAATCTTTAAAAGTTACAATGTTGAATTTCTCCTTTTCATAAAATTAAGTAAGTGGGGTGGGTAACAGATGTAAAAAAATTATTTTTACCATGACTAACAAAATATGTCTAACGTAAGTTCATTCATTTCTGAATAAGTTCTGAAAATTCCATTAAAATAAGATAATTATTTGATTTTTGCAAGAATTTCAAAAACAATGTTTTAATGCCAAAAATGATGCTAAAATTCTTAATACTAATCTCTGGCCGACCCGCTGATGCAAGAAAAACGAGATTTTTAACCAAAATTTCGAACGTTCTAGAAAGGATGAAGAAAATTAATAAAATAAACAAAAAATACTTTGGATTTTCCTCTTAATAATAACATAAACATTTTGATGATAAAAATGTGTTTCCATTAAGTTTGAAGCCTTTTTTCATTAACGTATGCTGATGTTTTAGTTATTTAATTAAAAGAAATGCTTATCATGACGTGATGTAATGGTCAGCAAACTCGTCTCGCGCGATCAATTACGACAGATGATGAGTTTGACTGAGTGCTCCGTACTGTCGGCCTTGTGCAAAATCTAACCTACTCTAAGTAATCTTTATTTATGCGTATAAAATATATTTACTCGGTTGGTTAGTTTTCTACGGCTTCTCAATCATTGAAGGTTAATTAAAGCCAGAAAATGTTTTTTAGATTGGCAGATTTGTTTTAGATAATAAGGATTTAGTGATAAAAGTCTTAACAATTAATGAATAGTGTGATAGTGAATTGGTGTATTCATACTTTTTTCAGAGGTATTTACGCATAGGTAAATATAACGAGCCTAACTAGAACTCGACTGTCCGATTAATCATTTTGAGCCATTATCCAATACACTACCCGCACCCCCAAGCTTATAGCAGCTGGTATTCCCAAGCGGTCACCAATTTAGGTACTGACCAGGTTCAATGTTGCTTAACTTCGGTGATCTTACGTGAACTGGTGTTTAAACGTCATAAAAAATGTCATCATTCTTTTTATCTATCACGTAAGTCATATAAACATTGTAGATTTAGAATCACATTTTTCGATCGTGTGACGTAGAACTCGGAGCCACACCTTGTAGAAATAAATATTCTATCAGTGAATTATTTTTTGCAGACATATTTATTGATTAAATTTACCTGTGGAGAATTTCATTAATACTTCACGGGAAAATTCGAAAATATTGATACACTGGCAAAAAAAGTGTCTGGTTATAGAGAAAAGTTTTATTGTAGTGATGTTTTATTTAACTTACTGTCAAAATTATTAAATGTAGTTTAGGATATATATGTATACATAAGATTTTTTTATTATTTTAATTTAAAAACTTGTGTTTTTTCTTTATTCTCATTATTGTTTCTATTTTATCGCTCTGCCTTTCTATGGTAAAAAAGATTCAATAATTTCAGTCTATATACAGGATATTGTAGAAATAATTTAATGGCAATTGTCATGATGAAATTTGCATTTTGGTGCGTTGTCTTGAGGAATATAAACGAAACAATAGACCGGCATTTCATCATTTTACTGTAGACGTTTCTAGATGTAACCGTAAGTTCTTTTTTAATAGTTCCTAATTTACACTTCCCGCACAGGGAAATCTCTTTCAGCCTTTTGCGTTAGTGTCAACAATTATCTACAATCATTTTTTTTTTAAGCAAATCACCCCAAGCCAGGCGGGAGCGTCAATAGCTCGCAGGTGGTGAGAGAGTGTGAGAGTAAAATTAAAGAGGAATGTTTGGGAAAAATGATAATAGAAAAAAGGACAGGGATCAATGTCAAGGCATCAGAAGATGACGATTGACATTACATTTGGATATTTGAAGATGACTGCTATCAGAAAATCATGTGACAGGAAAGGAGTTCCACTGACGGGACGTCCGAGATAAGAAGCTTTGGGAGTAAAAGTGATAGCTACATTTAATGAAACGGTGGGACCGAGACGCCAACCTAGTAGCACACTTAAATTCATGCAGTTTGGGAACCAGTGAAAGTAGCTCACCGGAGAAGTTACCATGAAAGTGCTAGTAGAAAAGGCAGAGGGAAGACACATCATGTCTTTGAGAAAGTGTCTGTAGACGATGACGTTGCATATCCGTCACTGGATTTTTTGGACAACCGCGAGATGGACAGCGGTAGCACCAGGCTATATATGGCAGCAGTATTCCATGCAAGGACGAATGGTTGATTTGTTGATTTGAAGGGTGGACTCAGGCACAGAGAACCAACTTTCATTGCGGCAGATGAAGCAACATATTCAATGTAGTTGTTCCACTTCAGGTCAATGGACAACATGCGACCAAGCAGTCGCAGAGAAGCGCTTTCCTGGAGTTGGCCATCATTCATCGCGTTGGGGGTGCTTGGAGAAACATCAATCGTCATCGTCTACCTCCTTGAATCATGTTTTTTTTATTGTCTTTCTCTTCGGGGTCTTTTTGGAGTGAAATGATTATATTAAAATAATAATAATAATTATTATTATTATTATTATTATTAATAATAATGTTCTTTTAGACCTGCGGGATAATGGTACGGTATAACTCACAATTTCCTTTGTAGCACTTAACAATTTTATCTTATTACTATTCATTACTATCCCATTTCTGCTATCAGGTTTCACACGATTCCCCTGTCCCCCCCTTTCCTTCAGTATGTCCTGGGAGTGTCAAATGTCCAACCTTCTTTTCTCATCACGTGACTCATAAATTTGGTCAACTCGACGTGGTGTAATGGCTAGCAAGCTTGTCTCACTAGATCAGTTACGACTGAATAGTGAGTTCGATCCTCTCTGGGTGCTCCATACATTCGGCCTTGTGCCACACTTAACCTATGCTTTGATAATCACCATATACTTCATAAATTTCAAATGTATCTTTTGGACTCTATGTATAATACAGTATTTCTTTCTTTTTTTTTTAATCAATTTACCGCAAGAAAGGCGATAATGCCACTGAGATACAAAGGGCTACTAGTAGTGAAAGAGAATGAAAATAATTTAGAAGTAACCGGAAACCCAATCCTAAACAAAGAACAAGGATAAACCTCTACACCAGTTCTAAAGACCGGTGTGGAGTGTGATCCGTGCGATAACTTTCACTCGTAAATAAAATCGCAGCATATTCCCGAGATCCTGCAACGTATGGACAAAATTTTCTGATGAGATACGTTCCTGAGTTTCATCAGTTAAGACTTTCCAGCTGAGACCCAACATACCGTGTGCAGAATGGCATAACATCCCTTCGTATTCCGTTCTAAGAGTTTCTTCCTTTGAGTTTCTGCTCTATGGAACTAATTTCCCAGAGGATTTTACCTCGACCTCTACAATCTTAACAAGTCCTTGTCTAGAGTCAACCGTTATCTATCCTGCTAATTATCCTAATCAACAATTCAAAAATCCATAAAGCAACCTCATCCTCTATCTTGAGCGACTACTGAAAACTGTATTGCGTGATCAATAGCGTACAACAAAGATAAAATAACAAAGTTTTACAGATAGATAAAATTATCGGTAAAATTAAGTAGATTTTAAAATCTATCAATTCATTGCTATGGAATTAAAAACGATTCACCGTCACACCACCTGGCACCATTATTAAGAAAAACTATACAAATGACTGAATATTTCGTTTTATGGAGTTGACTGGGTGGAAATCCAGCGAGCAACAAAAAAAAAAAGATTGAGACAATTTATATTATAAGAATTGATCTCCGTCTTTAGCTAAAAGACCTACGAGATTCAGATTGATATTACCCTCCCAATGAAAGACTAAGTCCAGATTCCTTCATTTTAGTGTCGTAGAATTTTACACATCTCCCAAGGACAAGTAAAAATAAAAACTGAATCAAAATTAAAACTGTATTCAAGACGTTGCTTGTTTTTGTTCACACGTTAAGAGATGTACAGTTTATAAGAGAAAAGAAAGCGAAAATATTAACTCTGCAACACAGTATCTATGAGAAACGCAAGGTAAGGCATCTGAGCTATATGGAATCATGTTAGAGAAAGAGTAAAACTACGTTCCGGCCGCTAATCTAGCTACTTATTTGACGCGACCTGAGGGATGATGCGACGGTAGTTGTGTCGTAGCTGACAATCTCTGCCTTCGTAGAGGAATACTCTTGCTAAACCTAGCAACATTTGGGGCATCAGTGCTGTACGTTAGTGTTGAAGGAAAGAATTGATGTCTTTTTTTCTGTCTGTATTACAAAAAGTCAGCTGAAATTTCTCGGACTAGTATTGAGAAAGGAGGGCTTAGAAAATCTGATAACCACAGGGCGGATATAGGCAAAGTAGGACATCCCGAAAGGACACGGGACATAAAAGAAGAAGAATATATTGGCTTGTTTGTGTGTCTGCCTCTGCGAGATAAAATAGACTGACAGACGAATCGTAACAACAGCGGTCCCAAGAACAACACGAGAGTAGAAAAATGTTATATGCAAATTTACATCTTATTTTACTCCAGCATTATGTCATTTATTGTCGACCAATGTCTGTGTGAATGATCACTTCCTGCCTGGTCCGAAGCTTAACCCTAGCATTCTCGTCCATGATATGTGAATCTGCTTGAATACTTTCTGAAGCAATTACGTTTACTTATCATTTCCATTACAAGAGCCAGGTCAGACAATATAGAGTACTTCTGGCATATAGGACAGGAGCTGCCCAGTCTTCAGATTCCACTCTCGATAGATTCTAAAAAAGGTCCCCTCGCCATTGTAGGCGAAGAATTATTTTCCATCCTATAACCTATTTTTTCGCAGACAAAACGTCGCTAACCTCTCACTGTTCTGTCACTATTTCCATGGAGTTGAACTACTTCTTAGATTCCATAGAATCTGGTGCGATGAACTACCCTTCTTAGATTCTATGGAGTGCATTTAGATGAACTACACTTCTTACATTGATGGAGTATATTGAGATGGACTAAACTTCTCAGATCCCATGGAGGACCTTGAGGTGAACTACACTACTTAGATTCCATGGAGTCTATTGAGATGAACTACACTTCTGAGGTTCCAAGGAGTACGTTGAGATGAACTACGCTTCCTATATTCCATGGAGTGTGTTGTGATGAACAACATTTCTCAGATCCCATGGAGTACCTTGAGATGAACTACCCTTCTTAGATTCTATGGAGTGTATTTAGATGAAATACACTTCTTACATTGCATGGAGTATATTGAGATTGATTAAACTTCTCAGATCCCATGGAGGACCTTGAGGTGAACAACACTTCTTAGATTCCATGGAGTGTACTGAGATGAACTACACTTCTGAGGTCCCAAGGAGTACGTTGAGATGAACTACGCTTCCTACATTCCATGGTGTTTGTTGTGATGAACAACATTTCTCAGATCCCATGGAATACCTTGAGATGAACTACACTTCTTAGATTCCCGGATGTGTGTTGAGATGAACTACACATGTTAGGTTCCCAGGATTCCGTTAGGATGAACTACCCTTCTTAGATTCCAGGGTGTGTGTTGAGATGAACTACACTTCTTCGATTCCACGGAGTCCGTTGAGATGAATTACACTTCTTAGATTCCAGGGTGTGTGTTGAGATGAACTACACTTCTTCGATTCGACGGAGTCCGTTGAGATGAACTACACTTCTTCGATTCCAGGGCGTGTGTTGAGATGAATTACACTTGTTATGTTCAATATAGTCCTGTGAGATGAACTACACTTCTTAGATTCCAGGGTGTGTGTTGAGATGAACTACACTTCTTCGATTCGACGGAGTCCGTTGAGATGAACTACACTTCTTCGATGCCAGGGCGTGTGTTGAGATGAATTACACTTGTTATATTCCATATAGTCCTGTGAGATGAACTAAACTTCTTAGATTCCAGTGTGTGCGTTGAGATGAACTACACTTCTTCGATTCGACGGAGTCCGTTGAGATGAACTACACTTCTTCGATTCCAGGGCGTGTGTTGAGATGAATTACACTTGTTATG